CCCTGCCGCTCGGAGGCCGCGGCCGCCCCGCGGGAGCCAGCCGGAACCCGCAGGCCAGGGCCGACCCTCCATCCATCCCGCCAGGGCGGCTTCCACTGCAGGGTGCCCCTCCCCGCCCACGCCGCCTCCAGTCGCCCACTTAGGCAGCCAGAACCCCTGGTGCGCGGGACAGGCCTCCCTCCCTCCCGACATCCCAGTCAGTGCTCTGGGGGAACTGGCTTCTTTCCAGAAAGGAGTTCCGGTGAACTTCTCAGCAATGGGAGTCGTCTCAGGTTTGCGTTTAGAGCACTCTGGCTCCTGTGAGGAAGGGGGTTCTTTGTGAGGGGCTGAATTGGAGGGGGCAGACTGCTGCAGAGGCCAGATGAGCGATGAACTAAACCAGGGGCAGGAGTGGGGATGAGATGTGGCGGGGGTGTTAGATGAGGGGTGGGAGATGGAAATTTGTTTTGGGTTTCTCCAAATTCCAGGGGACACAGCCCCCATACGTACGGGCCGAGGAAGAAACCCGTAATCCCAGGGCTGTTTTGTGTTCAGCCGAGGCTAAGTAGTGAGTTCCAGGCCAGTTTGGGCTATAGAGATCCTGTCTCAAAACCAAGTGGGATGGGAGGGTGGTGGCGCACGCCTTTAATCTCAGCACTGGAGAGACAGAGGCAGGCGGACCTCTGAGTTCAAGGCCATCCTGGTCTAGATAGATCAAGTTTGAAGCCTGGCTCAAAACAAAACACATCAGAATAGGTAGGATTGGAAGCAGCACACACCATGAGGGGTAAGTAATCACCAGCAAAACACGGGATACCGTTAATAGAGTAAAACCCCGTCTTCCCAGTAGTAACTGCCTGCAGCCTGGTGTAGCCTGCGGGACTTCGTCACTGCACTGGTACCTCTGCACTCAGCACCTCCCGTGTGGGTTGGGCCCCGATTTGTTCTTTAAAGTGAACAGCTAAACGCAGGCTCATTTATAGGCCAGGCACGGTGGTGCACCTTTAATCCTAACACTTGGGAGGCAGAGGCAGGTAGACCTGTTAGTTCAAGGCCTGCCTGGCCCACATAGCAAGTTCCAGGACAGTCAGACTATAGAGAGACCCTGTCCCAAAACAAAATTAAAATGGTCATTCATTCCAATGTTGAGTGACTCCTGTGTTCTAGCCCTCATCTCCGGATTACTTGATACAGATTTTTCTCCTTGATTCCTGAAAATTTATGGTTAGGAATAATTTCAAGTTTCTTCATTTATGTCAAGAAATACAATTAAAAGTGTCTAAAATGTCTTCTAGCTGTATAGTGGCCTCTTTGCTATTCAAACCACATGTTCAGACGAGCAGGAACTGGCTAATACATGGTGATTGGTTTACGACTGGTCAAATGATCTGAACCAGATCACTGAGATAAGGTTCCCCCAGATAAGGAACTAGATAAGGAACTAGAGAGATTGAGGGTTTCCAATCTATTGCTAAGTTTATAGAAAGCCTGGCACTACTAGCAACCAGCTTTGTGCCCAATAGGCAGAGAGACGCTTTGGCAATGGAGCGGACACAGCAAAAAGTGGTTCTGGGGAGGCAGGCATACCACCTGGAGCTGCTGGAAGTGAGTCCTGGATTCAGTGCAGACACGTTTGCCACTTGAAGCTAAGTGCCCTAAGGTTAAGGTCACAACTTACCTGTCATTTACATGGCACTCTGTCAGTCCTGTTCCACAGAACAGTCACCCATATAACTGTGACTGAGAACTGCTGGCGCTCCACTATGCAGCCCTTACCTTCAGTTTCCAAGAGCTGTCCAAACTGAGAGAAAACAGTCCAGTCTCAAATCCTTCAGACTCCCCATCACCCAAAGGAAATAACCTTTCCTGTGACTTCACCCTCCCCTCCCATCCAGCTGGAATCCACTGCAGGACATACCAGCATCATCCTGCACAGGTTCTGCAGGCACTCGGTCAGTTTGCCTTCAGACTCACCTTCAACCAAGCCACATTAGTACTGCTTGCAACTCCAGCCTTCAAATTTTTATTTTGTGTCTGCATATTTTGACATATATGTCTGTACATGTGCATACAGTGTCCAAGGCCAGAAGAGTGTGTCAGATCCCTTGGAACTAGTTACAGATGGGTGCGGACCCCCACATGGGTGCTGGGAATGGAGCCACCTCTCAAGCCCCTTCGTTTTTTTTTTAAATTGCCTTTGGGCCCAGGAAATGGCCAATCCTTTCTACTCTGAACTTGAGGGTCTTTCACCTTTGTTTACTTTGGGTCATAATCACTCTGTGTTTTGTTTATTGTTGAGACAGGGTCTCCTATAGCCCAAACCAGCCTCGAATCCATTATGTGCTGAAGATGACCTTGGATTTCTGACCCTCTTGTTCTGGGGTTACAAACCTGTGCCTCCTCACCACAGGGACTCCTCAGGTCTCTTGGGATGCAACTCCTGTTTTCAACCTCACTGAGATGATTTTTATTAACAGTCATTTTATAGAGACTCCTATAGCTCAAGCATCAGTTCTTAAAAATTCAATCCTAAAGCCCACTGTGGCGGTGGCACATGCCTTTAATCCCAGCACTCGGGCAGAGGCAGGCAAATCTGAGTTCGAGGCCAGCTTGGTCTGCAGAGCGAGTTCCAGAACAGCCAGAGCTACACAGAGAACCCTTTCTTGGCGGGGCAGGAAGGGAGGATTCAATCCAAGCAGCTGTGCACCAGCTTTCCGAACTTGTGTGAACATTTGTGGAAAAGACTGAAAATCCCCTGACTTGCATCTTCTGCCTCCCCAGACAGCCCCAAGTAATAAACTTTCCCTCTGAATAAAGCCCTGCAAAGTCCTCCCAGCCCCTTCAAAGCCAAAATAGAGTAGCATGACCTGGGATCTGCCTACCAAGGGACATCCAGGTTGCTTTTGACCGGAAAGCCTCGACACTGGACAATGTTAAAGGATGTTGTAGTTTCCGGCTATGATGCTTCAAAGCTTAAATCTGGCCTTCCTGACATTGGCTGGGTTACTTCTACTCTTCTAAAGTTTCAAATAGCTTCAAAAGACTCAGCTGAACAATTACTGAATTCTTGGACCTTCCACTGATAGACATTGTTGGACTAGCTGGACCACAGCCTGTAAGCCATTCTAATAATCCCATATATAGTCTTTCTACCAATTCTGTACCCCTAAAGTAGTGGTTCTCAACCTTCTTAGGGCTGTGACCCTTTAATACAGTTCTCATGTTGTGGTGACCCCCAACTATGGTTTATTTTTGTTGCTACTCCGTAATGATAACAATTATTTTTGTTGCTATTTCATAACTCATTTTGCTACTATTTTATTAAACATAATGTAAACATTTGTTTTTCAATGGTCTCCACGACCCTTCCCCAAAGAGGTTGTGACCCACAGGCTGAAAACCCCTGTTCTAAAGAACCCTCCTGACTAAATACCCTGAGCATGTTGGTAATTCTAAAATGACAAGTGGCTGATTGGGCTGGGGCGGGTTTTAAGGATACAGGAGTACTTGAATTCAAGGTAAGAAAATTAGTGAATCTAGCCTCCATCCCCTTTCCCAGGAATGTACATAAGATCTGGAGTCCCATGAGCATCCCAGGATGGAGACTGCTCATTTCTGTCCGGGGTGGATCTGCACTAGACATAGGGATTTGTTCTTTGGAACAAGGCTCTGGTATTATATTTGGTTTCATTTAGGAACTTCTCCTTCCTAAGCTTTAAGAAAGTAGATACTAAATGGTATGCAAAGACAACCCTCCAAATTTAAACTATAATCAAAATCTACAGAACCTGCAAAGATCTCATTTCCACATTTAAATAAAAGCATGCTAACACACTTCAAAGCCATTTTTACTTTCAATATAGTTTATTCTGATGAAGTTACAAAAGTAGATACAAAATACTTTTTTAAAAAGTACAGTTAACGACTTAGAAAAATAGAATAAAGCCCTAAAGGTTTAAAAATACAACAAATTTTTTTCCCATGAGGAATATTTTAAGTTATTTTAGATGGTAACCAAGACTACCTTATGCAAATGATTTTTGCTGCAGACCAACACAGAACGCTGTTCTATAAGCAGCCTGTAGCACACTGGTCATCCATTTGGCTCTACTTGTTTGATATACTCTGATGAGAGAATTGTGAATTTCAATGCAGCTGCCCCGTGTGCTCCAAACCCCCTCAGAGCCCAGCATCAAACTGAATATAAAAACAGGAAGACCAAAAGACCCTTTCCTTGTCTGCCGAACTCAAGACCTCAGGAGGAGAGAACATGACTGCGGGAGGTACTCAGCAGCCCATGTCCAGGCTGGCACTGTTCAGGCCAGGGCTCCATACTGACGGGCGGCTCCCACAGACAGCACAGGAGCCCTGGCACCAGACTGGAAACACACCTGTAAGGCCCACACTCTTCGGGCCTGATTTGTTTATGCTTCTGAGGTAATGACGTCATGTCTGAGAAGCTCTACTACTGTATGATCTTAGGGCTTAGAGAGAAGCCAAGAGAACAGGAAACCTCAGCGCCAGGACTGTGCCTGGGCCTTTGCTGCAAGTCGTGAACACAGACCTGCAGTTCTCCAGTGCGCAGTCGTGTGAACTAGAGTTCTGCAGGCCAGGGTAGAAGAACCCTTAGCTAACTGGCTGCTGGTAAGTCACGAGTCAGTCAGCAGAACAACGGTAGAGTGGCTGTCAACACAAAACTACTACAATAAAGTGTGATTTCCTTTTTACATCTGTGTATCATTGTCCAAGTTTTTTAAAGTCCTGGAAATTAAAGCACCAAAGGGCTAAGGCGGAATTCAGCAGGCAACTGGAAGCCACTGCAACTGAGTCTAGGGAGCAGTCAGCACAACTGACTCCTCCTGGGGTGGGGGCAGGGAGTAGGCAGATAAACCCAGGACAGACCGATTTCTTCAGATGTTATGAAAGCGTCTCCAGTCACGGCAGAAAGACGCCACCCTCCTGCTCCCATGCTCTGCCTCAGAGGTGAGCTAACAACACAATGTGTACGTACTGCTGGTTAAGGCAGGTTGGTCTGGGAGTCTGGCACTGCTTCCGTTTAAAAGACAGAAGGAAAAATGGAGTGGGTGGGGACACACAAGGAGACACCCCAGTCTCTACTACCAAGGGGGTTTTCTGTTTTGTCCCACTGGAGCTGCCTCCGTGTCTTAGCATTTACCCATCTGGAGCGCAATCCCGGAGAGGGCATCTGTCTCTGAAATGTGTGCAGAGGAAAGAAAAACCTTTGATTTGAGGGTGCCAGATATCCTAAAAATGATTGAGCCTTGGTTGATAGAGAATTTCACTTCAGCAAATCAAAGTAAATGGAGTCTGTGGTTGAGGGGTGATGCTTTTTGGGGGGCATCTAGAAGCCTGCATCCTGTCTGCAGCTGACTGACACTTGCAGCAGCTGACATGGACCTTTGCATACACCTGGGTTAGGAGGTGTTTCCAAGCTGTCCTTGTCTCTAAACCGTTATCCCACCTTGAATTCCTCTAATGGTGATGTGTGGTTTCAGCGAAAATAAGACAAAACTTCTTTAAAATTCTAAGCATACTTAAGAACATACTAAAATGAGTCATTAAAACTGGAGTTTCTAAGGAATTCTTTCTTGTATAGTTTAGTGGAGTCAAAAATAACAAAACCCTCATCACCTCTAACCTTTATAAAGCCATGCAGGAGGGCAGTGAGCACTTAGTCCCAGCCCTGACACACAGAATGCTGATACACTACAGCACTGCCCTTCAGACAAGTGTCCAGGATACTTAGGATGCCATGTACACCTGAGGAGGCAACCAGAACTGACTAGATCTGAGGACCTAATGAAAAGCAGGCACCTTCCTCAATAAAGGAGCCTTTTATCCTGATAGGATGAGGAAATTTTCAAGTTTTGATACAAAGACAAAGGAGAGACCCTCTAGAGCTCAATGCAGCCTTTGTAAAGTAACAGAATGAAGCAAGGCTGCTGTCAACTCACTTCCCGGCTGATCTCCAGCTCTCCCTCCAACAGGCAGCAGGGAGACCTGCAGTCACACACCCTCAAGCTACTTTTTCCCTTATTGCCATAACGTCTGCATTTCTACACATAAATGTAAGTTTCAAGTTGCAATAAAAACATGGAATCGTTTAGGAAATAAGTATTCTAAATACTTTTTTTTTAACTGTCCTCTCCAGAACTGCAAGGCCTCACGAATTATCAATGAAAATAGTGGCTTTGAGGCCCAAGTCTGTCACAGTTTTTTGGAAGTTTCTTGATCTCTGCCAAAATCTAAGTGAAGAGTTTCAAGAGGAGAACCTGCATGCTGCCATCAGAGGACACAGACTACATCCATCATACACCCCCATCTAGACAGACAACGACACAACCCCCAAAATTAAAAAGTCACTTAAAAATAACTTTGGTTAATCTCATGCCACATATGCCTGTGATTTAAGCCTTGTGGGTTTTGCAAAACAAACTTTTTTCAGCAAGTTTACCATGTAGCCCAGGCTAGCCTCCAATGTGCTATCCTCCTGCCTCTTCCTCCACAGTATCAGGTAACAGACATGCACCATCATGCCTGGCTAAAAATATATATATATACTCTTATCTATAAACACCAGCACACAGACACGAACCTAATAGGCTATCTAAGGTAAAACATAAGCTCTAAATGGCTGAGATTTAGAAATGGAACACCATTTCAATTTGTAAAGTGAAGCAAAACTGATCTGTGTTAAGAAATTTGTTCTAGAAACTAATAAGTTACTGCTGAAAATCCTTAATGTCCATTATGTTGTCACATGGAAAAACTCAATTTCTTTCTTTCTTTTTTTTTTTTTTCAAGACAGGGTTTCTCTGTGTAGTTTTAGTGCCTGTCCTGGAACTCACTCTGTAGCCCAGGTTGGCCTCAAACTCACAGAGATCTACCTGCCTCTGCCTCCCAAGTGCTGGGATTAAAGGCATGCTCCACCACTGCGCAGCTTCAATCACTTTCTTGAACAAAAGATCAGCAACAAACTACAGGCTAACCTAAGGTTACAACAGAGGACACTAAAGGACGGGTGGCCACACAGCACCTCCAATCTGGCTGTGCCATACAGGTCTTGTTCTGAAGCTATCTGGCCAACCTACCTCTGGGACAATTTTCTCTGCAGACAACAAGGGGTCTTTTGATCCTGCGTTCTTATAGTCAGTATCACTAGTCCACACCAGACAGCAATGAGAGAGTGCTAGCGGTAGATAGAGCGAGAGGGCAACTGTGTTCTAGAAGAAACATTTATCTGTCTTTAGATCCAAGCTTCTCAATTAATTCCTGAAGTGGTGCCAACTCACGCCTATCAATCAGATTAAACTCCTGGAAAGAGAAGAAAAGTAAAATGTAATAATGAACCAACATTGAAACTCTCACATGTCAACAATGTCTGGTGACCCTTAAGATCACCAGGTGTGACTGGTCTCCAGAAAGACCAAGACACAACTCATGACTTTATCAGTGTTGAGACATGGGGCTCCCTTCCTAACCTGATTCTGGGGGGTGAAAGGAACAGTAGCTATGAGTGTTAAACACTAAAATGAAATACACAAGTGTATATACAATGACCTAAAAATTACAAACTGAACCTCTGCTAACAGCCACCTCTTGAGAAGTCTACTTTTACACACACACACACACACGCACACGCACACGCACACGCACACGCACAATCTCAGAAGGAAAAAAAAAACCATTAAGTGTGGTATAGCCTTTGCAATACACACAGAACCATAATACACAATAATAAAAGCTACCAGGTTTCTTTACTTACTGTAAAGTGCTATTTTATATACAGAATTGCCCAGCTTTTTAAAGTTCTTTACTTTTATTTGTGTGTGTGTTTCCCGTATGTGTGGGGGTGTCTGAAGAGACCAGAAGTGACTATCAGAGCCCCTGGAGCTCCCCCTGCAGGTGCTGGAAAATGAGCTCGGGTCTCTGCAAGAGCAGGAAGTGTCTTTACTGCGCAGCCGCCTGTCTGTCACTCATGCTATTTTCTGGTTTCTTTGAAACAAGGTCTGGCTGGGATTATAGAGATGTGCATCATGCTCTGATAATTCTTTACTATCTTTTTCAAATAATATGAATTATTTTGACTGTTCCAAATTCTGAGTTAGTGCTCACAGGCCACAGACCTGGAAGAACAAGGCAGCTGGACCTAAGAAGGATGCCGCCTTTCTTCCTTTTTTTTTTTTTTAAAGGTTTACTTACTTACTTTGGGTCTGTCTGTGAGCCTTTGTGAGTTTATGTGCTCCACATGTGTGCCTGTGCCTATGGAAGCTAGAGGATGCTGGATCCCTTAGAGGGAGTTGTGAGCCTCCTGACAGGGATTCAAGGAACTGAACCCAGGTCCTCTGCAATAATTGTACATGGTCTTAACTGCTGAGCCATCTCTCCAGCCCAGAGACACAGTCCTTCTTTCTATACTGCTTCATGAATCGATGAAACAACAGAGAGAAGAAAACAAAGTTTGTAGTCAGACGGGCTGCATCTACGAATAAGACAGTGTTCTTACTGTTATCAAGGTCCAAGTCCAAGACCCTGAGATCAATCTGGCTCACCTACCTGAACAAAGAAAATAAAGTGCTTAAAGGAGGTGTTGAGGCGGGCCTCCTTGCAGCTGCATCACGGAGTCAAAGTGCTGGTGGTAAATATGGGCGTAAACCCTGAAGAGACGCTTCGGGATAGTCTTTGCCACAGACATGAAGTTTTTGGGAAACGGGACACCTGTAATTGAATGCACACCTATCAATCATCAAATGAGACAGCAGCGAGTTTTGATACTACACATAAGCTTAAGCTCTCCCAAGTCGACTTCAAAGGACTGTAAGCAAAGCAAACACAACCTGAGTATTCTTCCCGCTCCACACTGACTGCCTACAGCAGAAGACACAGGTAGAGACTGCTGATCACAATTCAAATTCACATGTTTGTTGTTTAAAATCAGTTTCTCCCTAAGATGAAGTGCAGTAAGAATAAGCATCACTTTCGTCATTTGTAACAGGAAAAAAAAGTTAGGAATGGAAATTTTCCTAAACAAAATAAATGACAGCCCTCAAGTCGGCAGAGAGCATCTCCTCTTCTACATTACTCTGGAATGTAAAAGTAGTCTTCATTTTCCTAGAGCCCAAAAAGGGGTGATCCTTCCTGAAACAGAAGGCAGGGACCTCATTCCTTCTCAGAGAAAAGAAATACCTCTTGAGAGAAAAACTGGGAGGTGTGGGGACCTCTTGAAGCAGTAGTCATGGGACAAATGGCTACAATTCTGACAAGTTTGGCTGATGACACCAAAGTCCTTTAGCAAAGGGACTGGAGTGCCAGAGAGCCGGCACTGGCTACACAACCACCACTGAGAAGCACCAAGAAGGCGTTTGCCTGCAGGGCATGTGGTGCTTGTCTCTAATTCAAGGCAGACAGGTGGATCTGTGGGAGGCCATGGACTCCAGTGAGTCTCAGGCTTGACAAGAAGTCAGTTTCAAAAAGCAGTTCCTCAGAACCATGAAAAACAAAACACCTTTCAACCTCTCAGAAAACGGAGGCTTCTAACAGCATTCCTCCTGTGCATCTTACTTTTTTTCTTTAGCCAGCCCTTAAAAGCTTGATATTTTAGGGTTGGGGATTTAGCTCAGTGGTAGAGCGCTTGCCTAGCAAGCGCAAGGCCCTGGATCCGATCCTCAGTTCCAAAAATAGATAGATAGATAGACAGATATTTAATAAGTTGTGCTTATTTTAGTTGTATTCCCAACCCCTAGTCTTAGCTAAACTGAGTTTTCAAACATTACACTGGAGCTTATGTGCTGTTTCCCTGGACAGAATCTTAATATGAAATTCCAAAATGGCAGGTTTTAAAAATCAAATCTTTTCTCTTAAAATTCCCACCTTGCTAATGGTTTAGATATGCTGCTAAAAAAAAAAACCAAAAACCAAAAAAAAACCAGTTCTCACCAATAAGATGAAACTAGCAAAATTTACAACACTGATAATAGCCTAATGGGGAGAAAGAGGCAGGGGGAAGAGTCTAGAATTACTACAGTAGAAAGAGAAGCTGAGAAAAAAGGATTCTGGGGGCATGGTGATAAGATTTTATAACCTCAGCAAGTGGGAGGTAGAGATAGAAGGACTCAGTGTTCAAGGTCATTCTCAGCTACACAGTGAATTCAAGGCCAAACTGAGCTAAATGAGATCTTGCCTCATAAAAATAAAATCAAATGAAACTTAACGGAGTAAACATGTAAGCTGTTTTAATCTAAGTACTTTCTTTTTTTTTTTTTTGGTTTTTCGAGACAGGGTTTCTCTGTGTAGCTTT